CAATACTTGAAAAAAATACCGTACCGAACACTGCCTCGTTTGCTGCATGTGGATCGCCTTAGCAGCCTTAGCCACTGTCGGGGCCCAAGTGGTCCCCCAAAACGCTCACTGTGTCGTCTACACAGACAGCTGCGGACAGGTAGACTCATTATTGTAACCAGTTTTTTACCCGGGTCTCGGGTCTGCATTAGAAGCGCCTGACATATTCTGGAGATACTCCGATCGCGTAGGTATCCGTCGGACGAACCTTTTCGAGTGACACGCGTTTCGCGGTTTCGCAGTTTCGCAGTTTTGCCTTGATCGACGAACGATCCGACAAGATCAATCATGACGGTCATGGCGCTTTGATGCAACCTTGAACCTTTTAATGCTGCTAACCTTCAAGGTTAACAGGGCTGAGGAACGTGTTTGATCGTTCGGAAGTTGAACTGTTTCCGGAGCTTTCTCGAACTCTCGAGTTTCGATAGCGAAACGACTGTGTAACGCGTCCACGTTAGAAAAATGTTGAAAGAGGACGATTGATGAAACACGACTCCAGTCCCTCGGTAACTTTGGCTAACACGTAGCTTTTGGGGGCTCTCCCTCACGACTGCTCACCGCAACTATAACTGCGAATAACCACTGCCTTATCTGGTGTTTGTCTACTATTATTATACCAATAATTATTATTATTCTTATTACTATTATTATTGTTATTAGTATTATTACTATTATTGTTATTATTATTATTGTTGTTATTATTATTATTATTATTATTATTATTATTATGCTATTTCGAAAGCGTTGTCGTCACCCTTACATCCCCAGCCCTACCCCCGCCCCACCCTACCCCTTACAGACAGATCTATTCACGAAGAAAGAGATGCACGCTTCTTATTCAGTAATTAGTATGTCCCTGCTATTAAACAGTTTGCCATATGTATATACCACACACAAACAAACACACACACACAGACACACAAACGCGCGTGCGCGCATACACGGACACGTATGTATTGTTAATATATACATATGCATATACGTATATACATATGTGTATATTATTATATCTATCATGCCATTGTCTTGATATATGCGCTTCTCTTTCATTAACGTTGCGCATTTATTGTGAATCTTTTATTGTCGAGACATATCCGACGCATCTGTCGAAGGTGATATGCAGGAAGTTCCATACATTTGAATTGCTTGAAATGTTACTGCCGCGAATCTGAATTCACAGAAAAATATGAAAGTTGTCCAGTGAAAATGAAGGAAATGTTTCGAGCAATGAAATCAGGTGTGACGCCCTGTATATATACGTTTCGTTTACTTCACCCTCGAATGCTTTAGTACTAAAATTAATTTGTCTCTGTACCCCGACCTGTCTATGCATCATTTTTTTATCGCACTTGAGGTTTCTCACGGTACAAATGATCTGTTACATAATGTCCAATATGTACTGCATGCATATTATTAATGTTCTCATACTAGATTCGATTGTGTCACGATGCTTCTAGTTTCGCGATCCCTCCGAGTTAATTATGCGCGGCCATTTTGTTTCATCCGAGCGGATATCGCGGTAACGACAATGGCGTGATTTCAGATAAAACGATCAAATTCACGCTGAGACTATTTCGAGAGGAAAACAATGCGAAAGTAATCCTTTAGAACAGTATAACACAGTAATAACAGTCGATACAAAATGCTGTTCCTATGGAATGTCTTTTACTTAAACGTACAATGATTTCGTGCTTGAGGCGCAAAAGGTCGATACATGAAGAATTTTTCAATTGATTACTTTACCAGACTCGAGAGAACTTTTAAGCTCGTGGCAACTCGGCTATCGAAGGAAATATGTTGTATCAGAAATCACGGTGCATGTTTAAGTTTAAAAGACTCCGTGGGACGAAATATTACACCTTCCGAGATTCACCTCTCCAGACGTGCAACACTTTTCCCTGTTCTCTCTGGTCTCGCTCCAGGGCATTATTTATTTATCTCTGCCATGAAAAAGGACACGAAAATTCTGTCGCTTGCATAGAGTGCTTCTGACGCCTGTAACCGGGAAAAAAGAGACTAAACACGACTAAGAAAACGACTGGAAGACGACTGGAAAACTGTGACTAAAAGAAACAGAGCAAAGAAAAGAGCAGGAAAGATTGACAAAGACAGGGCAAATTAAAGTGGGAAGCCCGCGTTGTCCGATTAACAAACTGCCTACGAAACAGTTGACGAAACTTTCCTTGATCCCGAACAATCCGATTGCATTCCACGATTTCTCTATTCGAGATTCGAGGTTTTACTTGTTTCTTTCTTTGTGAGCATAATCAACTCTGTTGTTATGGTTGCGGAGTCGCAGTTGACATAGTGTTGAACTTATTTGCAGTAGAATATTATTAATTTGACAGCTTACGACATCCCATATTCACATTATACGAATGCCAATAACTGCTGACTTTATCCAGCCACCTACGGCAGTTTCGGTTCGCTGGCGTGGATCAACACTACCTGCCCCTCCTCAGCTCCACGTCCGGAAAACCTCCATGGATCTACCTCTATCTATCTTTCGTAGCTTTAGTAACGAGTGAATGTGTGTGTTTCGAGTCTTGTAATTCACGCACGCGAACCAAAACCCGGCGGCCTTCTCGAGTCGGCTTCTGGCAGCACACGAATGCTTGGGTGATGAAGAGAGGAACTCTAATAACCCTCCGAACAATCGAACGAACGATTATGGTTCACGATCGATCATCACGACCAACTGGGGAATTTCTTTCATTTTAATTTCAATACGATCGCCGCTATCGGTCAGATCATTCCACAAGCGATGTCGTCCTTGATTCGCGTATTATGGACTTGGCTGACATTAGAGAAGCTTTGCTGCAACTCTCACGACAACTTGCAACACCGTTACACTCTCGACTAACCGATTCGAGTCTCGTCGTTTGTCAATTTCGAACTGTGCGACTTTCATTTCGTTTCATTTCATCTCATTTCTCTTCGTTTCACCTCATTTCACTGCGTCTCGTCTCGTTTCATCTCATTTCATTCTACGTGCTGTCACTGCAATTACATTCGTATAATCTGTTCGAGTTGATACGATTCGCCAAGCGCATCTTTAACGTTTTCCATTGTTTTCTCGGGCGAGGTATAAATAATCGTGTACAAGCAATTCGAGTTAATCGATGGAATCCCAGCAGGCTGTTTCCGAAATGTAAGATGGTAAAGTTTTCCATAGACCGCGGCTAGAACACGCGAAATTGTTCGATTCGATAAACACGACACAGAAAGTTTCTTCGAGTTACTTCCAAAGACAAAATGACTTGTCGAATGATCTGATACATCAACACCATCCTCGATAATTTGAACGCGTACGATCACCACCCAAGCAGAAAACCACCCCCTTCTCCCGGGCCATTATTTGCATGACCAGACTCTGTGTTTGTAGCAAATTATCTCTTTACGCAGTTGCAACAATTATTTATTATTATTACGATCATTATTCTTGTCCCTATCACGATCTATATACATCATTGTTCATATTTTTCTTTCCATCTTTTCTCGTTACCACGATTGTTCGTAATTAAGTTACTGATCTGTTGCTGTGTTTCTAATATGTTGTCGCCATAACACGCGATAGGATCGGTGATTGCTTGACAAGAAAAGAAGAAGATGATTCCATTTTAGCGACTTGTCTCTGTGTTTCTCATTTTTCTTTTCTTCTCTTTCTCTTTTCCTCCTTTTCTCTTTTTCTCTTTTTCTTTTGTTTTTTGTTTTTTATTCTTTAATACACTGATATTATTTGCACGCTTCAATGGTGAGCCTATAGTATTATACTTTCGCGCGATACGATATATTGCAAACCGTTTCGTCGTACGTATTCTGTAAGAGTTAGTTATATTTTTCGTTGTTTCCTAGTTTAACGATTCTCTCTCTCTCTTTCTCTCTCTCTCTCTCTCTTTGTAGATTGTTAACGCTTTTTTGACTTAACTTGTTTCTTTCGCTAACCACCAATACCGAGTTTTCCCCCCTTTCTCTATCTCTTTTTGGAGATTTCGATGTTTCATCTATTTGCTGCATTTGTCTATCATATTCTCGGAACGTACGAATTCGATCTTCCTAAATGACGAGTGTATGCGTGTGTTTCTGGCTGTCTGCGCGTCTGCCTCTCTGTGTGTGTGTGTACATATAATATGCATACATCTTTCGCTCGGGGCTAATCTCAGGAACGGAACGGTAGTGTAGCTGGGCTGGAGTATTGTACGCAATTTTTGCATACCATCTTGCTATATTCTCTACTGTACCGAGTGAGCCATCGAAAACGAAACATTTCGGTAGGATCGTTCGAATCCAACACCAGCAAGTGCGATCGGACTTTTCTCTGGTCACGAATGTCGGTTTCAGCCTGATCGGGGCGGGTTCTCTCTCGTTTCCATCGGGTCTCTTTGATCGACTCGACTTGTTCGGACCAAGATCAGTCGTGTGCACCGCTCGGCTGGCTCGAACAGAAAGATTCTCCTAGACTCGGCGAATTCGGATGAAACGCGAATCGATCGTGTAAACTCGAATACCGAAGAATAGAGATCGCGGAGAAAACGGTCGTCGCGTTCGTGTATGGCTGACCTCGATCCGACAATTATGAAACAGCTGTAAAGTGTCGAACAGACCTCGAGAGATAGAAACGTTCTAGGTGTAGAAGTGTTGCGTTTTCCATGTCTCACCACCTTTAGATGTTGCGTTTTCGATTCGACCAGCAGCTTACAGACCAGAGCAGAGTCTGTGCCACGTAACAGTATTTCCGCGCGAGTAACCGAGTACTCGAGTTTCCCAGTGGTCCGTGTACAGTGAAAGATACATATCGGTATGCAACGTTCTCCATCCGCGGCCATATTATATCTATACATGCACACGAGTGATACGATTATTGTTTCTCATCCTCGCTAGCTAGGTTTTACGTTTTAAGTCACTACTTAGCAGAACCGTGTTTTCCAGCCGACAGCGGGACGTTTCGAACACGAGCCGCGACACGTTGCTTTCACAGTTTTTGTTGACAGTCAAATTTCAGTCTAGTCATTGTGCTGAATGGCCCGCTGAGAAGAGGGCTTCTTCCGTCAGCTGATTCGCAAATTCTACGAAATCGAACTGTAATTGTTCTCGGTCGGCGATCGACTTGATAAATTCCCGGTGAACGTTGACGAGATCGATGCTGAACAGTAATGCCGAACAGTAACGCGGAAGGTTTCGTTTCATCGGTTGTTTCCGTAAAACTTGCGAACCGGAACCTCGTTTACAGGCACGCTCCTTGCACACAGAGTGTCGGAAACAGTAACGATAAAAACAGACAAAAAGCTAGAGTGATAAACCAACAAAATTACCGAGTCACGCGCGAGTCGTCGAGAAATGAAACAAAATCCTTTGATCTCGCCCATTTGGAAAGCCACTCCTTTCGAATCTGACAATTGTGGTGTCGTATCGTAAGAAAGATCAGTGAAAGCGAGCTTGGCAGCTTGCGTCGAGTGAACCATACCAGACGATCCTACAGTCGCCGAGTAATATTACGAACGATTTAAGCTAGGGGATTGTCTTGTTTGAAAATGAAAAGTTCTACTGCAAATTTTCCTTTTAATTCGATATGCACGAACAATCGACGCGGTGCGTCGGAATCGGTTTCCTTTTTGCGAGAGAGAGGCAGAGAGAAAGAGAGAGAGAGAGAGAGAGAGAGAGAGAGCGAAGTAGTTTGGGGAATATCTCTCGTTTGCCGAGCACTGTCGATTATTCGTGCACCAGTAGTAATTAATTAATATTCGTATTACGATCCGATTTTTTAGAGCATGTAATGTACCGTGACTATGCTCTAACACTGAACTGTCTGAATGTGCTCGATAATTTTCGAGAGGCAAATATGATTTGTCTCCTTTTGAAAGTGATGAGAGAATGAATGGATGCTGGTGGTTCTGTGTTTCGTGTGCTTGAGGTGAGATACAGTAAGAGTTGTCCCCTTTTTGTTGTAACTATTGTTCGCGAGTACTTGGCGAGTATCTCTTATAAAAGTACCTGGCACATTTTCTTTCAGTTACTGGACACCCTCCCGGTGTGCCAAGATTTTAATCGACAAGTGTGCAACCGTCCCGCCTGCAAGTTTATCCATCTCAGTGACGGTAAGTTTCATTCGAGCAACTGGATCGAGTCCCTCTCCGACCCCTCAGCGCCCCCTCATCGCCCCCGCCGGGGATGCAACAGCTTCATAACAAACTACGTACATAGAGAACATTTTACATGAAAAATAGCATTTCAAGAATGCTCGAAACTGTTGAAAACTGTTCATATATTGTTCCAATGTTTATCGAGATATTCAAGTATAAAGATAACGTTACAATTAATGAAACAGTTTGAAAACGTTCGTAACAACTGTTCGACGAGACAGACGTGACACTCGAATTAAATATACGTATATGTATTTCAGTGAAAGAGATAGGAACAGTTTGTTTAGTCATCGCTTGCCTCCTCTCTAACCGATCTTTCTTCCGACTGTTTTAGGAAACGTGGAGGTGATCGAGAATCGCGTAACTGTGTGCAGGGACGCAGTGAAGGGCGCGTGCATGCGACCCCAGTGTAAATATTACCACATACCGGTCGCGTTGCCGCCAGCACCCCTGATGGCGGTTACATCACCTGGGACGCCCTAGTTACTCCTTCTCGTTTAGTGGATAACGCGACGAGGCGATCAGTCGGATAGAGAAGCCGGACAGACAAACCACTGGCGAAAGTGTGTGAAAGATGAATGTGAAAAGTTCCAGAAGAAAGAAGGAGAGGAAACGATCGAGTGACCGAATCACCGAGAAACCGAGAGAAGCCGAGAGAAGAAAGGGGAATACGAGAGTATCGTAAACGAACGGACCGTGAGTTTCTCGAACAGGCGTTTCGCTGGATCGACCTGATCGTCGAAGAAGACGGACGAATAGCAAAAAGGATCGATCAGAGGGCACACGAGTTCCAACTGTTTTGTCCTCGTCGATTCGCATCGTCGTTCGCATCGTCGTTCGCGTCGTCGTTCGCATCGTCGTTCGCTTCGTCGTTCGCGTCGTCGTCGACATCGAAAGGACCGACTCGATTCTATTTCATCCTCCTCTGCGAATCTCCTCCGTTGCATGCGTTACCGTCGCGAGTAGGTGGAGAGGAAGGACACACCGAGAAACCAACTACGATCAAAGGGAAACGAAAGAGAACAAAGCCATAAAGATTCCACTTTCTTTTCCCTTTTTTCCTATTGGAACTGAACGATTTCAACGATTCGTCCGACAATCGACTAGCTGGTGTCGATTCCTCCAACTTTCGAATGTCTGGTAACGATGTATCCCTAACAGGAAAGATCACGAAACCGTTCAAGAGTTCAAGAATCTCGTAGCATCAGCCGATCCGCGTTGCGTCGGCGAGAGGATTGATTGCCTTTAGACACCTTGTTGCCGCTAGGTAGACAACTATCGATAGTTAAGTATGCTGATATCGCACCACGTTACGTTACGTTTCGTTTCGTTTCGTTTCGGTTTTTAGATTAGGTTAGTTTATATTCAGTTGGAGAATTTCTCACAGAATAATTGCTTGTGTTTGGTCGGACGAATATTGAAAATTAACTTGAAACCGTCCCTCAGGATGCTTGATAATAATTGAGCATCGTTAGACAAGGTCTTCCTTGAACCTGCCTTCTTTCTTTCTTTTTCTTTCTTTCTTTCTTTCTTTCTTTTTTTCTTCCTTTCTTCCTTTTTTCATATCGACTTCCAACAGAGAAAGACATCAATGTTGAGAACCATAAAACTTGATGAATATCTTTCTTTCGTGCTCCAGCAAGTTTGGTAGCCAATAACGCTCTCTAAACTGCGTTCCACTCTCGCAGATGCCCGCGGTGACGCTCGGTATATTTTTAAGCGCAGTACTTGTCATTCTTATCATTATTGCACAAATGACTTGTAATTGTACTCCGACTTCTGATCGATAGATCGTTGATCACATGCTCTAAGAGTCAGAAGTTAGTGGATCGTAGCTCTGATGAAATAGACAAGTATAATCCCTAACTATGTACATACTTCTGAATTTTCAAACTCTCGGAACAGGCAGAGTCGAATTTCATATTACTTTCAAAAGATATTTCTCGTTAAAAGTAGGATTAAGTTTTCCCCGTTTATACGATTGAGTATTAATATCCCCATATGTGATTCGTTAGGATCTCTATTTAATTTTGTATTACGAACTTTCTTCTGCGTACCGAGTATATCCAGTAATGGATTTCTTTTGGCACTTCCATCGAGTAGACACAACGTTTTATGTTCTTCCATGATTTCAAGAAACAGAAAAGAATGAGGAAAACCAGAGTTACAGATACGTAAGTGGTACAGGTCGTAAGAAATAGTTAGGGATTCAAGTACTACCGACACTCTCTTTAAAATTCACAAATCCGTATGCATTGAAAAGAATTGAAACGGTACGCGTTCGACGTTCAAACACTTTCAAAGAAAGATCCACTTCGAAAAACAGATGTATTGTATTTATAAATTGATCCGTTTACCTTTATTTCGACGTGTATCCGTTCAATTGATAACCTTGCAAAGTAGTGCAATTGATTTTGCACAGAAAGAGTAACGTATATATATATTTTTCTTGCATCACAAATGCGAACGATTGCAAATATACCATATTCACGGTGAAAGTTGAGGGAACGATGAAATAATCGAGGAAGTTTCGAACCTAGACGAGTCGAAGGAAGGCCAGGCGACAAAAATAACTTAACGTCTAACGAAGTTTTTATACACGTATATATTAAACAAATTCCACTTATATTTTGTTTCTATATCGATATACAGAAGCGTATGTATGTACGTTTCGTCTGATCGACAAACGCACGTACATACGCTGTGAGACACCTATCGATCGACGAGGTCGATTGGTATTTCATCGAAGCAGAAGAAACGAGACGACGAGAAGTAATAAGAAGGAAAAGGAGGTAGTAACGACCGATGGTCGGAGGACGAAACGATGTTACATACACATATGCATATATAATATATATACATATTATATATGAGTATAAATATAAATACAAATATAAATATAAATACAAATACAAATACAAATACAAATACAAATACAAATACAAATATAAATATAAATATAAATATAAATACAAATATATAAATATATAAATAAATACGTTCTTCCGTGGGAGGAACAAAGCCTTACATCAAGGTTTCCGGCGGCTCTTTAATTTTCGATCAATTTATTTCTCTGTTTTCTCCATTCGCGAGAAGGAAACGCCGAAAATCTACACACCCTAGGCGAGTAAACGCTATTTAATTACTAACACTACACAAATGTATATGACAAATATATACACATATACGTACTATAAGAAATTATATTTAATTAAAGTAATAGGATTTTTTGGAAGGAGGCGAGGTATGCTACGAAACAAGTAAATACGAGAACGAATACAATAAACTCAGACAAACGGAAAGGAAGAGAGAGGAGGGTAGCAGACAGATAGAGAAAGATATATTAGCAAGAAAAATCATTCGAAAAACGAGCAACAAACGACATGGGAAACTAGTCGCGTAAAGTGTAACAGTCTTACGTTTGCTGCTACTCCCGATGCGAAGAAATTTCAATGAGATTCGATTTTCACTCAATCATTCGCAAAGTTTCACATTTGATCACACGTGACGGTTCTTTCGTTTGCTTTTGTCGGCTTATTACGTGAAGGACCCACCGTCGATTGCGATTTCTGTCGTTTTTTCACTTTTATACATCCTCGAGTTCTCGATGCTGTTATTTTCTATTCTGTCCGCGCGACGATTCATTGCCTTTCGTAGGATAATCGACAAATGGAAATATTCGAGGAATCATGTTTGGTAGATGGAACATCGAACCACTGACACGTATCCGAAAGGTCTGATCGACAGTGGAAAGTGAAGAGAAAAGGGTGAAACATTTGAAAAGATCTCCGGAAGCGTAGTATTATTTTCTTGATTTTACGTTGTACCTCGACAGTCGTAAATGAACGGTTTGCAACACATTCGAGTAGAGTATTTGTGAGAAATCTCTGGAGAATCGTCAAGATATAGCAAAGAAATGGTAGAGTTCGAAAGCGAAGATCGGGTAACAAGTGGTCCTGAACAGCCAACGAAGATAGCAAAGAGTCTCTCGTACTAAATAGAATTTCAGATATTTCATTCCGTAGGACGTGTATGTCTGATGCGATTGTTTTTTATTACAAGCTAGACACACACACACACACAGTGTAAGGTCGGTCTGACTGTTCGCGTACCGTTCAGGCTCGGCTAAACGTAGGCAATTAAAGGTAAAATAATAAGAGAACACGACCGTCCAGGAAAGGCTTTCAACCACTTTCCCGACCAAACCCATAAGAGCAAGTCTTTTCCTTCATTCGAGATGATTGCAAGCGTGAAACGCGTTGTTCGGCTAGCCATACGATGACGTAGGGTCCTTTGCGTGTTCTCTCGCTACTCATACATGACACGAACGACCAGAATTTCTTTCAATCGATCGACTAACAGACATACACGTGCACACACGCGCAAAGTCACTCTCGAAACTGAACACACCAATCGTTTTCCATCGATTACGATTCGACGATATCGTTACTTATTTCAACGAGATGCATACATAGGTATAAACAAAGTATTCTAACGACAAAATAATTATAGGTTTACCGATACGAAACCATTGAGTATAACAAGAAAATCGAAAAAAGAAACATTAAGCGACTAAAGCGATTAAACGATTATACAAGTAAATGTTCCTGTACAGCATTTAAGAATCAAAGGACACACTTCTTATATCGCGACGACGCATACAAAACGAAACACGAGAAAATACAAAAATAGAAATCTACGCTACTTTTATTTCGTTAGGTTTTGCATTCTTTCATTCTAACTTTCATTCGTTTCTTGTCCTTTTTCCGTTCAATGTTGGTATTAGAGGGGAAAGATCATGAGAAATCAACGCTGTAAATTATTCGTGTATGTACATAGGTTAGACACTGTACTGTGAGATGGAGACAGTTTTAAAGGAGATTATTATTGTAGTATTCAACGATAATTGTTCGTGGTTTCGCGAATGTGATACGAACAAAGTTTTTTACCAGTACACACACCTATACATACATACACAGAGACACGTGCACACATACGTACGTACACACGCGCACACGTATACATACAAATATATTTTATCACGCTTTCTTCGTTGTAAAATTTTACCGTTTCGACGTTCGAGAGTCTAGTCACGAACAAGTAGTTGTCTTTTTTTCGTGTGTTTTTTCTTTTCAAAAGACAAACGTTTAAAAACGAAAAACTGCCTTCTGGAATGTTGCTGATCGGATGCCGTCTCGTGTTTTCGCGTATCGCAGATAATCTTGACCCGCGTGAACAACAGGGAAGCTCGCTTGCAGAAAGTGGAGGTGACAATCCCGCGAAGAGTAGAGACACGAGTAGAGACACTGGCGCAGCGACATTTACGTGGCCGTTCCTTCATTACTATCGTTTCGTGTAAGAACGAAGATTTCATAGAACGGTATCGAACGACAAGAAAATTGAAAAACAAGTGAAAAAATAGAAGAGCAGGAATATACGGACGAGTTCCTCGTGGCCGCACCTAGCATGCAGAGATAGGGAAAATTTTTCTATTTCTATAGATGAAATATTTCTTCGAATAATATACAACGAATAGGAACAATATACACCGGTTTTGTTCGTTTATTCGATTAGAATCTTTTCGTACTCTCCTTCACCGCCATAAATATAATAATCGGACAGAGAAACTTTTATCCTTTATCTTTTATCCTTAATCTTTTATCTTCCACCTTTTACCTGTTACCTTTTACCTTTTACCCTTTACCCTTTACCCTTTACCTTTTACCTTTCACCTTTCGCCTTTCGTCTTTCATCTTTTATCTTTGACTAGTTACTTGAGAATCCTTGTCTAAAATTTTGCCCGTCTCTGACACCGTGTACATAAATAGAATTAGATAACAAAGAAACGGGAAGCGTCGTACGGTATATCTGGATAAAGCTATAAGTACAATAATTAACGAATGTCCATTTAAGTAACGCCGATACGAAGAAGAAGAAGAAGAAGAAGAAGACGACGACGACGACGAGAACGTTTTCAATTGCGACTTTTATCGTGTTCGAATATTTTTTGGGTGATTTTTTCTTTCCGCGCGAGATCGAATCACGACGGTGTTGTCGATTGTTTTTTGTAAATCAGGTGATCGCGAGTGTGATATATTCGAATTCGTCCTAATCGCTGCCAATCATCGAGCAATGTTTTCCGTTGTTTCGAAACAACTGGGAAACTCCACGAACGAGAACGATCGTTTTCTCACCCCGTGATGGATCGCGTTACGCGCTCGCGCAAACGTGTCGTTTAATACTCGTCCTCGAAAGCAGAAAGGTCCTCGACGATCGTAGCCTTCGGGTTGGCTCTCCAACCTCCAGGTTCACTCGGAATTAAGCGGCGCTTCTATTTTCGGGAACGAAACTAGAAACTGGCGGGAGTTGTCGACTCTCTCGATCAGACACAGCCTCGGTCGAGACGGACGCTTTCGCGCGCGCGCGCAATGTTGGCACACCATTTTATTTCGGTTCGAAGCGAAACTGATCACGCGTAGAATCCCGAACGGGCGAGATCGTGTAGAGGTACCCCGTCTTTCCCTTCAATACCAAACGTTCTAGCAAATAATACACGGCAAGCGTTGTAACGAGATAATTGATAATTACGCCAGTATGGAGGAGGAACGGAGAACGATAGGGAGAACGGAGTAGGCGTTGCTCTGTTCTCCTGGACACTGAAACCGTTCGAAGATCGAACAATGTGAAAAATACCTGTAAATATATTACGTACGTAGGTAGGGATAAGGAAACACGAATCAACTAATTATCAAAGAAAAACAAACGAAAGGTAACACGACGAATTCACTGGAGTTTGAGCTTCCCAACTTGAGTCAAGGGTTTTAGCTGCTACAGCAAGCAATCGCAAAGCGATTCAAATCAAATCGATTATTTGTAAAACGAGCAAAGAAGAGTTCGCTTGCTTGAACGCCGTGCCGCCGTGCCAGAGGATTCCTATCTTTCGGCGAATAGATAGAGGATCGAATCGATTGTTCGGCCACGGCGGGTTCGTATGGCAATTTATATGCGCTATCGCTTTAAACAGACAAAAGAGTGCTGCTTCGCCGAGCCAGTGGATAGTACCGGTAAGCGGAACAAACGGGGAATCGACCTCTGTCTCTCATCTTTTCGGCTTCTTTCGTTACCACGTGCACCTACAAACGATCCTTTAGAGACTAAAATCTAATCTATTTACGCCTCGGAGCAGTTTCTCCTTGTATTCGATTCGAGCTGATAACTATTCTCTGCAGAAAACCGAAAATTCCGTTGGCCGGGTTCAAATATTTCATTCCATAATTAACAACCACCGACGAGACTGTGGGATTCTTCCGTTTCTTCTACGAACCACCAGCATTCCTCTGACTCGAAAATATATACTCGCGTGTACCTACCTAGCTTCTTGCGCGCAATGCATTTTGACTCTACCAAGAGAACGGAACCATAGAAGAAAAGGGAATGAACGTTCTAGCGAGCAGTCGCTTGCGACAAGTATATCGATAGACGCGATCGGAAAACAGAAAAGAGACAGAAAAGTGGAAAATCTCGGTGGACAGAGAGAGAGAGAGAGAGAGAGAGAGAGAGGGAGGTCGAACGGAAATTTAATCAAGCGCGTACTCGCTCTGCAGAATATCGGTAGCCGAGCCACCGTGGCTGTTCGAACGAAAGCGGGGCCGGATGTTTGGATATTTTGGTAGTTTTTAATCGGATCGTACACCATCGACTGAACAGAGCCCATCCGAAATTGCCGACACGAACGTCCGAACGGATCTTGTTCGGATCACCCGTCCACGGTTCGCGGCGGAACGTGAGAACGGTTATCATTGGCCCACGCCGAAGAGCCGACGCTCGGCGGATCGAGAGGAAAAGTGGCAGAACAAACGGATAGAGACTGTACCGAAGTAAATACATTAACAGACCGTCCACGCCAGGGACAAGCTTGTCCGATGAAAGGAACGAGAGATAGCGGTGTCGCGATCGACGAGAATTTTCTTCGAGCCAAACGCAGGAACTCGAGGAATCGTAGAAATACGACTTTGGTTCTAGATCAGCGTGTCTATAATCGATACACTGTGGATGTTTGCGCGGATTCGTGGCTTCGTTCGATGCGTAATCTAGCAGAATGCCAACCGAACAACAACTTTATTCCGTCGAGGCCCCTGCACGCGACACTCTTTAGTCTCTGTCACTTTCCGTACGACGCGAGCGTGTCGTAGAGACAGTGAAAAAGTCGCAAGCCCGTCGTTCGCCTCGAGACGAGCCTTCTCAGCAGACACTTCATTCTCGTTTCGTTCAATGTTTTCGTCTATTACCTATGCATAAGCATCCGCAGTTAGTAGTCAAGTTCAACGGAAGAAAACATGTGGAAACAGCATCACGAAGGAACCCGAACGTAACACGCTTGTGAAATACACTAGATATATATGAAGATGTATGTATGTGATACATACATGTGATCAGGTACACTGGATGCATACGTCCACACATGCGTCTACGTATGCGTAGACGTATGCGTAGACGTGTACGTGGACGTGTACACGACGCACGCACGCTCGCACGCACGCACGCACGCACGCAGGCGCACATACATACATGCCTAATGTATATATACATAATAGTAGATACAGCAAAACGAATATATTATATATGAATATACATATAATATATTTTTGACTTTTATTCTACAGTAAGTCGTAAGTGGACCGTGTACCGGGACACTCACTAAAAGACGGACAAGCCCCTTGGTTGCAAATATACATAAAAATCGTTCAGACAATTTGGCTGCTCGACGTAATTTCTGAATTCCTCTTATGGATCTAAGCGAAACCCGATCGATACAACCAGTCGATGGTAGAAAAGGAGAAATTCAAATGTCGAAGTAGGGGGCAACCTGAGAGAAAGAAGTGTGGGCAACCGAACTCTTCTGCAGAGCGAAGTGTTTGCGCGTATTGCGCTTTATTGCGCGTATTGCGCGGGGTGTTTCCCTTCTTGGTGGATAAAGATCGATACACGAAAGAGAAGATTCAACAAGAATTCGATGAGAATAGAACGACTGGAATTTTCGTTACACACGCATTACACACGCATTACACACGCATTACACACGTATGCACATACAGTTATACACAGTGACAAACAGTGACACGCGCAGAAATAAAATATGTATTATACGTGTATAGAAAGAGAGAAAAGAATATATATAGATGTACCGTTCGAGCAGATGCTCCCTCTTCAAGAGAGTTCCTTTTTATTCAGACTATCGTTACATACACGAAAGAAAACGGATAATTTTCCTGGAGAACGAGATTAAGTAGAACGCGCAGAGTTATGGATGGCGCGGCCGCGCGCAACGGCGGCTCGACGAATCGCCAACGAAAGTGAAATGCCCCGTACGCTTGTAGTCTCTCCGATTTCGAGTACAAGAACACGCAATGAACAATTGTCTAGGCGAACCAAAAAGAAATCAAGTAAAAACTCAAGAAACATGGAGACGAAACAGATGCATACGTTTTCGAGACGACTCTTTCTTAGATAAACGTGGAAAAGAGATGATAACCAACAGTCAAAACGCGTTTTTCGACATTGATAGCTATCGGTATTTAACGATTTATCGATATAATTAAATGTTCTTCGAAACTAAGCTAACGAGGACTAATAGTATTTTTCAAAGTTAGATGGTTAACATTAGCAGTACGTTGTAGCGTGTACACGATCTTAGCAAGTAGAGACGACAGGAGAAGAGAAAAACTTTGATCACTCGAGTAGTTTGCATGTTAGTGAATCCAGCCTACGCCAATAAGCTTCTTGTAGTCGGTAGTCAAGTATTTAAGCCGCAGTTACTCCTCACGAACGGACAAACACGACTTGTATCGTCTTTTATGCTTTCGGAGGACACGCTCCTCGAACTCAAACGACGAAGCGACCCCAGACTGGTTTCCGTGATACCGTTTCGTCGTTTCTCCGTTTATATTCCCGCTTCCTCCTATCCTTTTACCCCCACAAGCTTCCTCTTCTCACCCATCCGAAGAGAAACTGAAACTGGAACTGAAACTGAAACTGAAACTGAAACTGAAACAGGTCAAAGGGCTGATTCAGCTCGCACCGAGTAACGCTTAGCGTCTAATCTATCTACTAATACCGAAACGTAACCAAGAAACGACGGAAAACTTCATTTAGACAATGCGTCTGACGAAAAATGATGAGAAATCATGATGAAAAATGGAGAAAAATGGTGAAAATGGTGAAAAATGATGAACAACGATGAAAAATGAGAAAAGTATAATCATCGGACCCAGGTCGTATCCTGCGAGAACGAGATACGTCGCCAGAGTAGAGTAGACTCCACTTTCTTCTGTGGCGCGAACCTTCTCAACAGACTGTATCGAGGAGTCGAAGAAATTGGCGGTTCAAGGTCAGTAAACGGTGAGAAGAACAGCAGGAATCGGATGTTCCGTCGTCCATACGATTAGACTACCCCGCCATTGTTGAGCGACAAGTGCAGAGCATTCTCCTTTCGAACTCAGTACTCTATCCACAGACGAGACTCGCGGAATAATCTTCTCAGACTTGTACTCCGTGTATTCCATGTATTTCCATGGGGGACGTACGTACAGATGCGTTTCGTCCGACACCCACGGGATTGGCCACAGACTAAAGGCTACCAGAGTGCCGAGAGACGAGAGCCATCAAAGAACCAACGCAGTCTATGAGAACACGAAAGAAAGCCCAGTGCAGCAATAGCGAGGGAACAGCGAACGACGCGAGTTGCAGAGTAGAAGCGACCTTGATCAGTCAGTTTTCTTAGCTTCCGCTTCGAAAAGAAGCTCGAGAAAAGAAGTTCTCGATAGCACGACGAGGGACTGCCAGAAATGTCTGTTGACGAATTTTCGACGCTTCGGACGGCGAAATAGCCTAGCAGCCCACCCGAAACCCCCCACCTACTTGCCCCATTGCTGGCCTTCGTTAAGATTGAATAGCCTCGTTCGTCCAATCAACGCAACAAACTTTCCAAGGCCCCTAGCTTGTTCCACGGTAGCAAAGAACACGTAGGATTTCCGGAGTAGTCAGCCTTTTCGTCGAGGGAGAGATTGCTGATCGCGCGTTCATTATTCGATTCGTAATTAAGATACTAGAGCTAGACGGACTGTTTAAATAATGGTAGTCCACTATTCTCCCCGAGCTAGACCACGATCGATCCGAAGCTCGTGGTTGTTTCCTCGCTTACGCGAAAGCTTCCACGCCATTCGCGAAACGCTTTCTTAGCTCCTTCTACACACGTACACGTATGCTATGTGCGTAAACAAACGTATTCGTACTAATATTCGATTAGACGTTCTTGATCCTACACGGACGCGCGCACGCCTGAGCTGTGCTAAGAATAGCGTGTTATTACTATACGTATATTTATCGCAACTATACTCTTACTCTAGAAGTAGATTAACCCGCTTAGGATGTCGGTGTGACACTTTTGCTGATCGCTAGTAGTGGGCTCGCGCGTCGTTGTCGCGCCGAATGTGCTTCCCGCCTTCTTCCTTTCCATACGGGCACCATTGGAATCTCGAAAGCTAACAGATCAATCGCGAGAATATGTATATTGGAATATATTGGACGTTTCAGATCGTTTCAAATCGTTTCAAATCGTTTCTCGGTTCAACATCGGGAATGGAATTGGGTTGATCTTTCGAAAACCTTTCCAACTTTTCCAACTGGAAGAATAGTGTGTCGGCTCGTGTCCAGCACGGGGAACGAATTGAAAGAGTGTTGTTAAACGATATCTCGGTATCCTAGATCGAACGGTTCGACGAGGAATGCCAGTTGTGCGGGGTATTTTCGAAAAGAGCTCCAAGAGTTCCGAATTTCCGGGAAACTGAAGAAAATGAATCTCGCGACAGTTCCCGACGAGAGATCCGAATTGTAAATTGCAGTATATCGGTTGCTCGAACGCAGACCGATATTAAGGTACGTTTAGTTGGTATTCTAATAGAATAAGGAATAGATGTCTAGTCGTGAAAGTTCCTCGAATAAACTTCTGCCGCGCGCGCGCAATGTTCCACGTACACGGTACTAGGAAAAATGTACGTTGTACGGAGCAAACGTACGGAACGGAGAGAAACGCGAAAAGGACATTTCGGACGCTTCAACGACGCAACCATAGCGAGCAACTCGCACGTTACGAGAGAGAGAGCACTTCCGTTTTAAGACTATTTCTCTGGGTCACGCGTATATATTCCAACGGCCACTAGATGTTAGAGTAGTTCCTTTCCGCGATATTAGTGACCGATCGCCTGTAGCCTCGAGAAGAACAGTTCGGTCTAATCACCATACGTCGTTGTATAGTCGAAAGATGGCTTGATCTCCTCTGTCCCACACACGCCCCCGTCATGTCCTTCCGGTACAATAACACGGTTGCCCCCCTTGACTACAAGTTTTCGAAAGAAAATCATTTGGAAACGAACACACACACGAGAAACATTCGGATTCATCGAGAAGAACACGAAGAAAAGGAATACCTTTGTATTCGCGACTGATTCGGCACAATCTCGAAGATTATCGAGCAACGTAAGCAAAACGAAATCTAACAAGCCCTTACGTAACATTCTAAGCTCATCAATCGATCAAATGTACTCTCACAGTTTCACAAAATAAACAGAGAGAATCTTCTGTGGCAGCATAATAAACAGAGAAAAAATTACTAGTTCGACAAGTTAAACTAATCGTACGTTGGGGACGAGCCCGAAGGGTTCCCGGCGGACCAACTAACATTGCCGCCGACGACCCTCCGGAACGTTGCGTCTTCCGACAGTGATGTAACTATTAACATGTACCCCTTAACGTTATATTTTTCCGGTGGTAGCCTCAGCGTTCGCATCGAGACCAACGATTCTTCCCGAACGGTAAACCAGAGAGATTTCTCATTCGAGCTCTCGCCGAACGAAAGAGAAAGAGACAGATACGCGCGAACGCGGTTTCGATGCGAACGCGGAGGCTGCGCTAGCCACCGGCAGTTTGTGATATATTTAGTAAAACAAATTTAACAAGAAAATGGTTGTTATTCGAATTAAAAAAAAAAGACGAAGAGAATGAGAAGAGAAGCGCCTAGCGGTTTTACATCCACACGAACACACCAAATGAATTTGGTAATGTGACGCGCGTACTGCTGAGAGAAGCGACACGTTTCACGATAAGTCGACGATAAATTTTATAGGGCATTCCGTAACGGGGAACGGCTAGATTGCTTGTCCACTGTTATTCTCGTTCCCCGTGCGCCCTAGAGGCGAACGAAAGTCGGCGCCAGGAACGACCGACAACCAATCTACCCGTTCGATATACGTAATAATTCGTTGTCATAATGGAACTCGAGTTTTCTAACGAACGAGAGATTTGTATTTGTGACTCGCAGATAGAATAATAATAATTTTATACGACCGTTCAGAGGGGGGAGCGCAGGCGTACGCAGGTTGACAGCCCTCTCAGCAGCATCGGGCCGTCGATTATAAACTAATTAATTGTAAATTTTAGGTACTACCGCGCGTAACATAGGGGAAACGAAACAATGATGGATATCGCGATAGGTGAAAGAGAGCGAGAGCGAGAGCGAGAGAGAGAGAGAGCGAGCGAGAGCGAGAGAGAGTGAGAAAGAGAGAGAGTGAGGCGTGCACTATCGCGGAGGAGAGGAGGAATAAGGAGAATAACAAGGAAAAAAATATGGTAATACACGTGACAACACACACACCTACACACACACGGACACTCACACGTACCCACGCACACCCACACGTACACACATACTATATATATTGTAATATTATTTTTCGAACATAGTAATGTAATGTAGAGTATAATATATCTGTTATATGTATGTATATATGTGTATATATATGTACGTATATATGTGTACACATATATATGCACATATAATGCGATACTGTAAACGATTATTTCGTAATAGCGCCAAGGCTGGACAAAGTGTTTCGGAGATTTAAGAGAATTAATTAGGTGGGCCAGAAGCGTCGGCGAGCCGAGTGGCGCCGGGTCACACCAGACATATTTTTACCAAGATTTTTCGAATATTCAGTCTCCCTCGATTCCTAAATGTAACGAGATCTTTAATGAGAGAAAAAAGAGAAGAAAGATGCGGAATGGTACCCGCGCGCCACTATCGCTTCCGCGCCGATTTTCTTAGCGTACGGCCGTCGATCGGTGGTCGACGGGTGGTCGACGGGTGGTCGATCGGTCGTTGTTCGATTCTCACTGTGTTCAAGGAGGTGAACCGTCGAGTAAGAGGTCCTACTTGTCGCGGTTCGATTTTCACGAGGCTCTGAAAATCGGCGGTAGTCAAACGATGAAGAACGAAAACTCCCTATTATCCTGAATATGTGATTGACCGTTCGACGACCGAGTCGGTGAATGTTCACTTGGTCGGATCGAAGGACGAAACGGAGGACGGAACGGAGGACGAAACGGAGGAGTGACGAGGTAGAAGAGCTGCGCGAATCGGCTGCGAATCGGCTGCGAATCGGCTGCGAAGCAACTGGAAATCCGGGCTGATCGGTAGACACGAGACCGACCGTCGAACGCGACCTTTCGAAATACTTCCTCCGATATTCATTCTTCGAACCCGACACGTGCGTATCCTAATTTTTCAATGTCCGCGGTAGGGACTAAGAATCGAGCAGAGGCGTGTACAGCGGGGATGATTGGTTACTGAATACGAATAAAATGAGAAAAGGAAAGTTAGTTCCCACCTATCTTCACTCTTCCCATTCCTTTCCTCCGACATTCCCCGTCCCGAACTCGTGTATCGACTCACTACTTCTCTCTCAATCCTTTGAACCTTCTATTTTTATGCCTGTCACATTTAGAAGCTTCCCGAGTGTCGGCCCGAACAATCGAGTTACGAGATAGAATGTTGAGGAGAATGGCGAGCAAGAGGGTGAACAGAAACTGACAACCGATGCGTTTTTTCTAATTGTCGATGAGACCGATCAATTCAAATTCTGACGGCGACCTTTGTAATACGAATGCGAATTTCATTGATATGCTAAGTTTGCGTTCTAACGATACATCCACGCTCGGATGCGTATATATACACACACATATATATATACACCTATATATTATAATATTAATTACGATTAATTATTGGCCATCGGAACACGCAAAAACGAAATTCATCACCTCGAACACTTGACGAACAATAATACAAACACTTCTTCATTTTCGTTTCCGTTTCCGTTTTCGTTTCCGTTTCTCTTTTTCCTTTTCTTTCTCTTTCTCTTTCTCTTTCTCTTTCTCTTTCTCTTTTCTTCTCTTCTTCTTTCCCTTTCCCCTTTCCTTTTCCTTTTCCTTCTCCTTTCTCTTCTTCTCTTCCTTTCCCCTGTCTTTTCTTTCCCTTCTACTTTTCTATGCAATTGTTACATTCGATGTTTTGTTATATGAAAATATGCTGGCATGTTGAATCGATGGGAGAGAACCAACAAAATGCTGGGTATCGTCTATTCGTTGCGGGGCGCAAGCTGATCGTGATCGTTTACGCATATTCCTTGTTCCTATTCTTTATGGAAACATTCAACCAGAGAGAAATGATGGGCGACCAAAAATCCTTCACTTCCTTCACTTTCTTTGGTTTGATAATGATTACTTGTACGGCGAACGAACGTTTAAATATCGATCAACTCAACAAGTTTGTACGGTATGGAAATCAAAAAGGCGTCAATCTCCCGCTGTTCAAGTAGTTGTGCGAACAGCTTGCGCGTCACTTTCGACAGACGGAATAAATAAACGAAACTGTGCGGACTAGAGGAAAATTAACATTGTGATGTTTACTGATCAAATATGTCAAAAAAGTAGAGGCCCACTGGTTGAGGCCCGACATTTCTGAGTACACTATAAATAATAAACATTATGTAAAATTTACTCGTGGATCCTTTTCATTTACCCACCCGAAAGGTAATCAACCAAAGGTAACCCGGTTGCATCAGTTTCCTTCCTTACCCTTTCCTTCCTGTTCGCCACAGGCTCGTACGAGAGCCTATAGTACGTATCTATCAAGTAATGGGAAAAGTTGCTCGTTTCCTTTCGATCTCTTCGTCCTACCGTGTAAAGGTTGCAAAGGTTGCGTTCTTGCTGCATTATGCTATCCATCTTTGCGCGTTCGCGTGCGGAAACTAAACGAGTAAGGAGCGACGACGCGCAAATTCAATCGCGCCTAAACCAACTAACAACGAAAACAGTTCATTCCTCGCTAGAATTCATCCAAGGGAAAGTTATCAGTGTCTAGAACGCATAGAGTAACGGGAACGAGTACGTATTCTGTAATCTGAAAGCAGGGCAACACTCTATAGAGTTATACTTTCAAATACATCTCGCATTCTTCGATCGAGACTCTGCGCGTGGCGAGAGAAGCGGATTCCTTTGAATGATTCCGATATGACAGACAATTGTTACGCGCTGCTTAAGCGAAGCTTGCCTGCAATTCTCGCTAGAGAACGCTCGATGTCTAGTAGCGTGATTGCGGCAATCTTTGAAATAGTGCAGTACGGTTGGCCAATCAGCCGTGCTAGGAACAACGCGATACGCCTTGCCCGCTCACCTCGGCGTACACGATTCCGCGATAGCAATGCAATGATAAGTCGCGACTGCGCACTGTTCAAAGACGGCTCGCGGAAAACTTGCTTGAAGTTGGCAACAGTTTTCCTTGCAGCCATCGGTTCTAATCCGAAACTTTCCTCGGAGATGGCTTTTGCCACGCGACTATCAGTTTAATCTTCGATTCCCGTCTGGGTGAAAGTTTCACTTCGAGAAGCAAAGGTGAATCTATTCGACAAAGAGATCCGCTGGATTTTTCTTAGGTCTGTTTTAGGTCTATCAAGTGGCAATTATAGAAATCAGTGTTTCGATGAAAACGACGCGATAATAAAACGGGGATTTTCCTTGGAAATGACGGAACCTTCTTTCCATCAGCTGGTTCGAACTTTCTGCCGAAAATGGATAAATGGATAAACGAGAAACGAATCGAGCGCTAAAGCATTCGGGGGTCGGAAAGTTTCGAGAGAACCGTCGAAAGTGTAGAGGATATCCAGGTTGAATCCAGAGCATGCGTTCTCTCGTCTAGTGCTCTAGTCGATGCAACTTCAGATGGTGCAGCGGACCTTCCATTGCAAACTGGTGGTACGCAAGCGTCGCACGAAGGCACCGAGAAGGCACGTAGGCTGACTAGGCTGATCGTTGGATATGTCGACGATCGGTGGTTAGCGCGAGTGAATCGGACTCTCGGAGTCGTGGCAAAAATGTGTCAATGTTGCTGGCAACAGTGGCACTCGAAACAAGTGAATTCCACGCGTGCTGCCTACAATCAGCAGGGACAGCCCCGAGGGAACCAAGAACACACGATCTGAGCGTTGGAAGCCGGAGCAACGTGTCTGCGCCGCGCAATACGTACAGGCGCGTGACAACAAACGCCGACCAAGTTACATGGCGAGTTATTCGCGTGGACGTTCCTCTCGACAATCCGAGTGAGTGCGAGATCATCGATTCGATATATCATTGTGCCAATCTGGAACGGTCAAACCGAATTCACATTCACCGTTCGAATCGACGTTCGAATCGACCCCGATGATCGATCCTTTTCAAACGATCATGCCTTTCAAAAGATCAAACTCAACGATCGCTACCCAACATCCAACATCCGACATTTTCGAGAAAATAGCCGCAATTGACAACTAGCGGCTCGGATGTGACCGACAACAAGTGTCACAATCTGTCGTGGACGATTCATTGACCGACTAATCGTGACCGCGCTTCTTACGCCTGTCGTGCCGAGCGATTACGACACCGAAGTAATTATTATTTGTACCGTTGCGAAACTCTGATATCATCGATCATCGAGGTTCAGGTAATTGATGAGAGTTTTCAAACGATCAGAATCTGAAATTGTTGAATTGCTTTTCCGTAGCATCCGGTCCTTCTTCTACGAATCGCGATTGAGTTGTCCAAGCTGTCCTTTTTCGATCACTGCAGCACACTATTCCAAGAAATATTTCCAGAAATATACGTCAAATAGATTTTCTGTCTGTTACTTTGATACATGCTTCTCAGCCGTTTATCGAATCATTTAAACAACTTTGTTTTATTCAACGGAGAGACTCTGTGCGTACAGAGAAAAGCAGAAAACGCTATAGCCGTTGTCAATATTGATTGCTGAACGTGTTACACAATAGGCGGTTCATGCTATTGATTCAATCATAATACACGTGTTACTATACGCCGGTAAAGTCGTTTATGGGGCCTCGTATTATCCTCCCTGGCTATCAAAAACAGACGTGGATTATGAGAAACATTTCATACAGTACTCCCAATCACGTTCCGGTGATTTTGTTTTTGTTCAATAGAAATTAGCATGAACGGTGCGCGGTGATGTGTCGTCATTAGTTTTTATTCGTTCGAATGTTACATTCGATTTTATTAATCGAACAGTTTTCTATATAGTGACACGATGGACGATGATATCGACGACAAAGATGACACGAAACGGTGAGTAAAGAGAGTCGTTGCGGAACGGCTAGATCATTTTCTCTATTGAAATCATCGATTGTTCAAAGTATCGTGAATTGTTGTCTTTCAATCGTCAGGAAATCGCGAAATTTGAGTGAAAAAAAACGGCGTGACCAATTCAACATGTTGGTGAACGAGCTGGGGAGCATGGTTGGTTCGAATACGCGGAAAATGGACAAATCTACCGTATTAAAATCCACGATATTATTCTTGAAAAACCATAACGGTAAGTGCAGTTTTGTCCGTAGTCCTGGAAAAGCTTGTCTTTCCTCTCTGTTTTCTATTCCTTTGGAATTTCTCAATATTCCAGAAATAGCCGTAAGATCAAGGGTGCATGAGATTCAGGAAGATTGGAAGCCGTCGTTTCTGTCAAACGAAGAGTTCACGCATCTCATATTAGAGGTACGTTTAACAGCCTGAAATAAATGAAAAAGATTTCTAGTAACTCGTATACACTTGCCGTGATTAAGATTCTTGAAAGCCTGTCGTGGATTTTACGGTTTATATTTTCATAATATGTTTCAATAGAAATAATGTAAGAATTCTGAATAACAAGTGTAGAGTCGTGCGGGAAATACGAATACGTATCTACGGTGAAGTCTATCAAAGTTGAAAACGAGAAAGCGACGAACGTAATTGATCCGTGTACTGGCTACAAATACAATTTCATTACTCGAGAAGAAAGTTGTTCGATCTGCGGTAAGAGGTACGAATTAACGAATTAAAGAGTTGACGAGTTAAGGAACTAAGAACAGTTCAGTGTGAAACTTCTAGCCAAGATATCGTACACATAATCAACGGAAACACCAAGTGCAATCAGTACGAATTTATCGATCGATAAAACCAGAAACAATTTTTTCAATGTAGGCTCTGGACGGTTTTATAATGGTATTTTCTTCAAGCGGGCGCATTTATTATGTGTCCGAAAGCGTTACATCTCTACTTGGCTACCTTCCAAAGGAGCTGGAAAACACTACCATTTATGATATAACTTACCAAGAGGACCAATCGCCGTTATACAATGTGTTATTGAATCCAGTGAACGCGAGGGATCGACGAAACGTCAAGAAAGGTAGCAAAGGTTTCTCGAGAATCGCAAAGAAGCCTCGACGGAAGCACCATTAACGACACTATTCTCATTTCCAGAGGACCAAATATCTTTCTCGTGTCACATTAAAAGAGGTGGCCTGAACGTTCAAGAGAATCCCGTTTACGAGCTCGTGCAATTTATCGGATACTTCCGTAAGTGATTCAGAATTTCTCACTGCCTCGACTACTTGTAGCCGCGACTGTACATGTAGACGACCGATTGCACATGGACAGTCCTCGAAGCAGCGCATTTCTTACGCGTGTAGTCGTAAATACGTTCGCCGGATTCTGGAAGATCGAAGAAAGTCGGTAATAGTGGAGTCAATTCAAACGATTCTCTGTAGAACCAACCGAATCTTTCGTGGACTCTTTCAAAGGATTTCTGTTTCCTCGTTTACTTGACACCGCCAGCCTCCATTATTCGGTTAGGAATCATTCTAGATTTTAGACAAGTACAAATATATTCATTTCCCCGTTCATTTATTCAAGGTTCTGACGTCGATTCGGAAGTAGACAATCTCCTCCCAAATACAAAATTCGGGACTACCGGTGGAATGGACACAAAGTAATTGTCTTTGTGTATGATAATCAATATTTCCCAGCAGTTATTCGAGAGATATTCTATACGTTTTTTCCTCAGATTAGTTTTCGTCGGAACGGGACGCCTGCAAACGCCCCAGTTGATTCGCGAGTTGTCTGTAATGGACAGCACTAAGTCGGAGTTTACTTCCAGACATAGTCTCGAATGGAAGTTTCTCTTTCTGGATCATCGAGCACCGCCCATCATCGGATACCTACCGTTCGAAGTTCTCGGCACCTCCGGATACGATTATTATCATGTCGACGACTTGGACAAGGTCGTCATGTGCCACGAATCCCGTAAGTGTTGGCGCGACTGAATCTCGGACAATTCGTTTCACCGAGCAATAACTGTCGTCTGCACGATTCGCAGTGATGCAAAAGGGAGAGGGCACTTCGTGCTACTATAGATTCCTGACGAAGGGTCAACAATGGATATGGTTGCAGACCAGATTTTATATCACGTACAACCAATGGAATTCGAAACCCGAGTTCATCGTCTGCACCCATTACGTGGTCAGCTATATCGATGTGATCAAGGAGCTGCGCAAAGAGTCGGAAACTTTCGGGAAAGAGCAGACCGAGGACGTTTTAATGACGGTAAAACAGCAGCAGGTACGTCGGGATCCGATCATTTGTTTGCCGCGCAACCTACGATTCGCGAGACACGCATACTTGGTAATTTCGCAGGTGAGCACATCGTGCCCGGTTCCAACGACGCAATGGCCGTCGAAATCGTCCAAGTCGTCGAAATCAATAGCTTCAAACACGAGACCGAGACACGTCGAAGGCTCCGATAGCTCCTCGATGTCGGCGTCCATGCAAAGTTCGCCACATTCGCAAATCACGCACGTGTCGCGTTCCAAAGGCACTTCTGCCAACGCTCCGAAAAATCAGATGCCTCAAATCGACAACCGGCAGCACCAACAGCAATCCCAGCAGCAACCTCAGATAGAAGTTGACCAGAGTTGCATTCACTTTATGGAACAGGCGCAATATGCGACGGTTAATCTACAACCTGTAGTTACCACTGGCTTCGCTACACCCGCGGGACAAATTCTGTCGACCGTTCCTACCCACGAGGTAAGAAAACACATTTCTCATTGGTACGGGAAATATATTATAAATATATATCGAACGATCTGGGAATATTTCTAGATGTTGCATCAGCAAGGTATCGTGATGACACCGCAGCAGAATCAAATTCAAGACGAGCTGCAGCGTAAGCACGAGGAGCTGCAACAGCTAATAGTGCATCAGCAAGAAGAACTTCGTAGAGTGTCGGAGCAACTATTTATCGCCAGATATGGAATTCTCTCGCCGTTGCTTAACGCAAGTATCTCGTTATTTCATATCCGATGTTTCGGAAGAATTTCTAGCTAAAGCGTGCTGTCGAATTTCAGGCAGGCATGCCATACGGCGCAACAACGAATGCGTGCCAACAAATGAACCGATGCAACACCAATAACACGGCTATGCAACTACCCACATCGAGCAGCGTGCAAAGCGTGAACGTTCTTCCTTTACCCATCACTGTTCCAGTGCCTCTGGTGCCCACGGAATTGTTCTCTCACTCGTTACCGGTTAGTCCCGTGCCAACAGTATCGACCACGGTTCAAGGAAACGTGGCGACGATGATCCAAACGCCACAGCAGCCGCATCAGCAGCAGCCGCAAGGACCAACGCAGCAAAACGGCAATCCTGATCTTGTGCCTTTTCAGATCTGTTCTCATCAAGCAGACATGTTATACAATGACATGGAACCGGCATCGACTCAGCAACAAAGACCACCCCAGAATTAAACGACTGCTACTTTTGATGCTCCTTGTTCCACGTTATCGAGCAATGATTCGGAGATGAAGAAAATCGGAAACTAAACGAGCGAGACTCTACGGTTTAGGGTCACCTTTACAATATTTAGACTAATATTTTTCTATGTAAGTTGTACAGAAAGAACATTTCGCAATGGAAATTGGATGGGTTCAGCGCTTCTGTTTAATCGAACGAGAATGTTCGGACACCGGGCTGGGCTCCCATCCAATTGGATCAGTGCTGTCCACCCTACCCATTACACCTTATTATTCAGCGGATCTTAGGGAATGTAACTGCAGTCGCTTGAAAACTAAAGCGACAAAAGTGATTTGGATCGAATGAATGTTATCGGCCGACTTCTTCAGACTTTGGATCCGCGAGATATTTCTTTGAGAGCATGCTCGGCACTCTCTTCGCATGGAACCGATATCCGACGTCGATTACCTTTGAAAAAGGCTATCTATTGCGCGTATTATGTATAGATTATGTATTTTTACCGTGTCGACTGGGCTAAATGCTTTATGGACTCCGTCACAGATAGTTTATTTCGTTTCCGAAAGTACAAAATATGTCTGGAATCACTTGGAAAGTGGTTTAACCAGGAACTTTGTGTTTCCAGATAGCCTAATTAGTTTTATCGTACCGAAGAGTTGACGGGAAACGATGACCCGCATTTTGTTCGGGAACAGGGTATATTTCTAAATATATCTATATCTATACCTACATCTATATCTATATCCGTATCTGTATCTACCATGTATATGTATATGTATATGTATATTACGAGGAACGACAGAAAGTAATATATTTTGTTGTAAATGTACATTGATAAGCTCCAACATGTATCTTTAATCTATGAAATGGTGTGTATTATGAGTGTCGAAATTCATATATTTTCTAAATGTTATCGGACGGATTATACATTGAAGGAAATTTCTACACATTCCAAGGAAATGTACTGCAGGAAACATGTTTAACTATTACTGTATTAAGACAATAACTTCCACAGTTCGATTGTATGCGATAACAAGATTGCATGCATTAGATACAACGTGAAAATAAAGGAAGTTCCTAAATTACTAACAAGAAAACTGAACGATTTCAAATCAAAGCGAGCAGTTTATCTTATAATTTCAGATGAAGAAGCGATTATCGATAGATTCTGCGGTGGTTGCGGGGCTTCGTTGGGGATACTCGCTGACGAGTCGAGGACCGGAATCGTAGAAGGAAACGTAGCTAGCAAACATTGCGAAAAGAGTGATATTCCAACAGTCATTAGCAAGTTATAGAAATTTTATTCGTTCGATATAGGATTAAACTAATATCACCAACTTTACAAAAGTTGAGCCACCATTTTCGTTGTAAGCTCTCGTTCGGGTACGATTTCATTTCAACCACAATTATAGTTATTATCATACATTCTCGACAATCAATATAGTCCTACTGCTTTAGCTTTCTGACAGCATCCATTAAAATTTGGACTTCCTGATTCACGTTGTAAATCAGATCTTCGATTTGGTGTTTACTGTCAATTATGTTGATGGATTGAGTGTACGGGTCGTATCGGACTCCAAATTTCCTTGGGATAGTCTCGGCGAATTTACTAAAATAATCAACGGAATAAATGATTAGTAAACGTAGCATATTTCAATCGCATATTTTTATGAAAATCTTTTGCTGGCTCGAGTGAACAGTTTCCCGAAGAATGGTAATCTTCGAAATCTTTTTGTACGTTTCGTTCACTTGAGGTATTACAATACATATATATATTATAATTCGACAGAAGGATAGAAGAATAGTAATCTTAAGAAATCTCGTTAGCTTCGCGAGAAAGTATTTCATTCGGAAGTGTCTTGGTTATTTTTCATCCGGAACGCGCGAGTGGTTCACAGATAAGATAATCTCCGTGAGCACGTAAATCAGCCGAGCAATTTACTCACATCATTTTCTGTTTTGCATCGTCAAAGTCCTCAGCAACGAAGTAGACGGGTTGATATTCCGTTATCGGATATTTTTGCAACGCTGTCTTCGCCGGTTCAAAAGGTCGGAGTTCTGGTTTGCCACTCAAGCAGTACTCGAGCTCGCCGAAGGAGGAAAGCAAGCCAGCGCCGTATGCTTTCAATTCGCCATTTTGCCGGCAGATACCGTATTCCACCGTGAACCAGAAACACTAATAAACACTTGGTCGATGATGAATTCTCTTGGCCGCGCGAATGAAACTAAAGGAACCACAAGTCACACTCACCGTGGCAAGCTTCTCGATGTAATCGTCAGGAGCACCGAGAGACGCCAGGCCGACGATTTGACAAAACTGAGCGAACGAGGGATCAGCGAATAGCGGTACGTGACCCAGTACTTCGTGACAAATGTCGGGTTCTGGTGTGTACAATGGTTTACTGCCGTGTCTTATGTATTGTGTACAATGAAACACTCGAAAAGCCAAACCGGCTAAAAAGTCGCGGGACGATAACAGACCGGCAACTGGACGAAGCGTGAAACCAGTGCAATCTGCAAAGAATCAGAGGAACGTGTCGCACTGTGCTCGTTTCGTTGCCGACGATTACACGCTAATCTAAAACATCCGATACCTTTCAGAAAGTTTGATATATCTTGCAACTGAGGAATATTATCTTCTCTGTAATCACAGTTTTCGATGAGTAAAGGGAAAACATAGTTGTGCTCTCTGCAGGCGTATTTCGGGTACAGCTTCGTGAGATTTTGGAAAACTACGCCCCACGTTTTAATCTCTTCTTTGGTGTATTCCACTCTAGGAATGGGTTGCCCACTAAAACATTCGACTAGAGTTAGCCACGTCGAGTGGTTACTTGGGGAGAATCGAGAATCAGACTTACTGTTTGTAATTGTAAGCCAAGTCGGCAAAGTATTTGCGCCTCTGCCTGTAAACCGCGTCTGTGAATCCAGGATGATCGCTGTCCAGCTCCGAACCATACGACAAAATTTGATTGGCAAACTTATCCAAATCCCTGATTCTTTGCGGAAACCATGGCACTGTTCCCATATTATCCTTGTGATTTCTGCCAAGAGAAATGAAATTGCCTCTTTAGAAAAGAGAACGACCACACGCTATCCGGACGCAGGAATTAGCAAGAGATACACTTGTTAAGAACAAGAAATCGATTATTATATGTATATTATTCACCTGGAAATGATCGAGAAGTAACTACATTGTTTGCGTAAAGTATCAACGACAGCGCCGAGATCTCCACCCGGTGCGCACTCCACCATAAATTCGTAAACGTCTGCGCGCCGAAGAGAACTTCTCGATTCAATGTGCAATAAATTAACCTCGTGTTTCTGTAAATGAAATAAATTCAATGAAATTCCGGAAATAGTACAATTCCCTCGACGAGAAGAACGTCTCTGATTTGAAAATAAATACTTTGCTCTCGCGCATAGACATTTCTATCAAGCGAGTCAGAGATACCTGTAAGGTATGGAATCATTGATTGTTCCGTTTGAAATTAGTGGTACTTACAGCAAACAACTGCAGATATCTTCCCAGTGCTCCAACAGAGTCCTCGTCTGTCGGGGAGAAGATCAGGCACGTACTTTTCGTGGAATCCCTGCCTTCTTTGATGTAGTTCCCTCCACGTACCAGAGTCGGCTTTAAAAAATAACAATTTTCAAATCAGTATTGATCGTATACTATGAAATAATAATAAACGAACGATAATCCTTGAAAATGCTGAAACTGTTGATTGATTGTGTAAAGTAGAGTTAAACCAACTGGATTTTTCCAGAATTTCCATTCGAATGTTTCGACTATTTACTTTTTACTTTGGTCAATTGGAATTCGATATTTATTCCGAATGGTGTGTAAATGTTTCGAAAAAGAATCGACAGAAGATCCTTACATCGAACATTATTAACGGCGTCTCGATCATTGCACGGAGAATAGTAGAAGCGAACTGTCGCCTGAACTTATCTTACTCCTGGTGAGATAACTTTACGGAAGGTACTACTCTCCATTAACACGCCAGGCGTCTATTTTATACAGACTGAGACAGTCCCCCCTTTCGTCCTCAGTTTACTCCATTTTTTACAACTTCACTGAGAAAACCGTAACTTTGTCGAGTGTAGTTTTCCCAGTAGTGTAGTGTTCCCCTGTACCATTTTCCAGGAAAATTCCCTCTGGAAAGAACGCGAGGCTTGCGTCGTTTATGCGTTTTCCCGCAGATCATTTATCTAATAAATATGACGAAGAAAAACCACCTTACACTCGCCAGATGTAATTCCTGTGACTTTTGCATCATGCAAACGGTAACACTACCGCTGTTCGGGTGTCAAGGTCGATTTCACCGAACAAAAGAATTTTGGTTGGACCAAGTCTATAGCGAATGTAAAGCAGCGTGTATCGATTGAGTAACCTGCACAGCCATTCACAACTTGTCTTGCTTGTATTTGCTTCTCCAACCATCGAATCTAAACAAACCTTCTAGTCGGGGACAATCCGACACCCTCGCGACACCCAACCCGGAAATTTGGCAAAATTACACTTTAACAGATTTCTTGTGACAAATGTCTGTTGAAAAGTGTTACTTTTAGTATCAGTTTGAAGCCGATTTGCTAGGTTCCTTGGTCGAATTCGTTCCAGTTGTATAGACTACAACGTCCGTCATTCTTTGAATGAAATTGAAACGTTGAAGAAATCTTCTATACTGAAATGGAAATATTACGAAAGCTACTGTGTGTACTCGTAACGTTCTATCTCACACGATAAATCCGGTGAAAAACAATTATTGTGCTCCACGATTGAATTGAACGAACGCTTCGTTTGAACAAACGCTCTCCCACTCCAAGAAAATTGAACATCGGACGAGTAATGCTGAAATAAAATAGAATAATAAACCCGCGGCCCATTGAAACCACGCGAACATTCGCTCGCATTCACCGCGAACGTGTACATATGTGTAGCTCGATTGCTACACATCTTGTCCACATCGAATCGACACTCTAATAATGTTTCGAGTGTAGAAAAGAACATTTGTCTGCAGATAGAGGGTTCGCGCGGTGCAGCAAGGACAAGGAAAACTAATGCAGTCCGACCGAATAACGTAGATAAGAAACCTTACATTCGTTTCTGAGCAGTTTAAAAAGAAACCTTGTTGAAATTGTCGATTAACACGCTAAAAAAAAAAGTACAGCACGCATGGTTGAGCCGACAGCGATCAGAATCAACGGTGAAAAAAGTGCGAACAGCGTGTCATTATCTTTTTCTGTAATTGGAATCTTGAAACTTGAATTCCTTGACAATTCAAATAACAAAACAGTTCTCTGTGAACGAGTCGAGAAGGACATGAAGAATTAAAAGTGATTCAGTTCAGATATTGTGCCGACTAACGGTTTTCCTCAACATTCTTAACAATACCACTTGCTATGTTGGAAACTATTTGCTTGAACAAACATTTGGTAAAGTAGCTTTCGGGGCTATTAATCAATAGCAAATAACTCGACCGTTATCCGTTACACAGATATGTACTACAATGTACCGAATAACGATCAACTGTCTCTTACATTGATGAAATGTGCGAGTTGCTACGAAATAAACGTGAATTATTTCTCATTCGTTCCGAATTCCATCAGAACTATTTACATAAGAGATTTTTACCCTAGGTTCACAGTTTATGTAAGAATTTCTGCTCGCAATCGATTATGCACACGACATGCGGTGTTTATATAACGATTGCGTTTAAATGTTATCTTTCAAATGATTCATGCGTGATTATGATCGACGACACTGGCATATGTTTCACTTTGATCCAAATTGAAAAGTTTTTCTCATAAGTGAAATCAATTGTACGACTCCTTGCTTCTAGTTTCCACGCTTCAAATATTTCGATGTAATGTCAATATCTACTTGAAAAATATTCGATATTCTAAATAGTGTTAAACATTATGATAATGTTTGACAACGGTACATGTACCAGAGATAGCACGTATTAGCTCGCAATTAGCAATATTTCTCCGGGAACACATAAACTTTCAGTTGTCGCACTCTGAACCGGCGTAATAATAGATTTATCATTAAAGATTAAGGCAATAGTAGCGCGAAAATAATTTGTCTAATATTTGAAGAAAACATTAAAAATCTACATATCTGGATAACGCACGTTTGATAAGTTTCATCAGTTCAATAAGGTAAAACTAGATAAAATCATTAACACGTTACTATTCCTCAAATGCTTTTTATCTCAGGATTGTTATTTCAATGAGTTGAGAATATTTTTTGCTCATTTCTATATTCAGTTATGTAGTAAAATGTACAGTAATAGATTTTGAAATAGAAACATTTTTGTTGTTAGAAACTACAACTTTCTTCAACATTCGAATGTTTTTGATAATACCTTCAGTAAACATCTCTCCATCGTTTCCTTTCACAAAGATTCATTAAAAGAAAATGCTCTCGTCTATTGTATAAATAGTATGATCACAGTTGAATACTAATGATTCGATTAGAGATCATTCGATTGTAAAAAAGCTAGGTTAAAATTTCGATAAAATTAGATCTTTCTTACAAGTGTTCCTCACCTTATCGATGGACAATTCATTAAGGACTTCGTCACCTTCCTCCAACGTGTCATTCATTTTTGGTATTGCTTTTGCGTACATTTTCACAAGGCTAACAACTGTGTGTAATGGAAAAAAGTGTCGAGTGTACTGAGAACTGTTGCGATTTTCACAAGCCGAGCGTCTTGATAAGACTGATTTCTGCGGCGTCGCGTTCCTCAGTTTTAATGAGATGGAGCTAGATGCCTTCAAAGAAATGTCCCTGCTTATAAGCGTGAAGAAATAAACATTTATCAGATTTTTCATTCAATTTCATTTCTGAACGAGCACGATAGCCATATTCTCTTGAATAAGTGATTTCCTTTCGAAATAGTCGTTATAAATGTTTTCTGTTCCAGTAACGAAGGAATATATTTCAGTTCGTACCTTCCACTCTCCAGTCTATCTATCTTGTAAATTCGATCATTTAACAATTCTAATACCTTGGTTAATTGCAAAGAATGTCGTCTAGAACTCGTCGGAAAATGCTGAATATTTCTAATGAAAATACGCGTCACTTGGAATGTTTTCACTTTAGATTTCAAATTCGAAACAATTCTTCTTCTGTACATTTCTTTAGCCATACACGATTCGAACAGGTAATTCGAACAGATGCAACTGGTGAAAGGACACATCGTTATGATATTTTCCTCCGCAAGTGCGCATTCGTGCGCTTGTATTCTGAATTTGTCAGGACTTTTCAATTCGTTGGATTCGCATCAAGCAATCAAGTATAATATATACTGTTCCTGCATTTGGTTGGAGTAAAATCGCATCGGAGACGATGGCGCGAACAAAGTTTCGTTCTAAAAGCCCATAGATTGTGCGAGAAGGGATGGGGATTTGATGAATTTTTCATGACTTATTATGATTAATAACCAGCATGCTTTGCATTCACGAAATATCTAACTCGGTTTTAGGTGTATCTGTGGGTCATTCGACATTTCATAATATTTTGCTTGGTTGGGAAGATAAGCGACCAGAGTGAATTCTTAACTTTTACTTTTCAGTTCTCACTTGAACGTTTCTGCCTTTCAAAAAATCTGCGTGTTTCTGCATAGTAAGCGATTGTTGTACCATTCGCATTGGACTGTTCATGGAGGAAACTGTTGAACGTTTGAGATCGTAAAAAGGTGATGGCTGGTAAGGAAATTGAACTGATGAAATTTCAAGCACGATTTCAACTTCATATGGCAAGGCGAAATAAACGTTGCCGACTCGATATCGAATCACAGGACGGTCGACATCTTCGAATAAAATTGACGTATCACTTCTCTCTGTCTATATTGTCCGAGTATAGATGCTGTTGTTAATCTGCTATTAGAGTTATTTGCTATTTGCCAGCGTTCCTAAAAAAATTCTACGCAATCGTAGAAGAACAGCTGTTTATCGTATCGAAGCAAATTTACGGCTAAATAGCTTGATTGGACGACGTAAAAACGACCTCTTATCAGCGCTTGACCCTCACGCCGCTTCTTCGTCGCTTGTTCGTCGCTCGTTCGTCGCTTCTTCGTCGGTTCTTCGTCGCGATAGGTCCAGTGTATGTTATTAACATTACTGTCGCATCAACTGGACTGAATGTCTGTAGTGGTACGCCAATAACACGATGATAATTCAACAGTGATCTTTTCTTCAAGAACGAAACAATTCGTACTCAGTAAGAAATTTCATCCGACGAGTAGTGTGTGTAGCAAGTTTCCTTTCGTCCGCGCTCAACGGGAAAATCTACGGGAGTCAAAGGTTTAGTGAACAAAGGCTGATGTAAACGCTCGCCGGTGCACCTTTGGAGATGTAGCGATGATTCACCATTTGGTAAGTGTCGAATGTTCGAACATTCGAACATTCGAACATTCAAGATATTCCTTGCAGTACACTTTTCTTCCTAACGACCATTCTGTGTTTCTATGCGCCGCGTATTCGTAGACAGGAGTACAAGGACAGAACGAGAGTGAATCTTTCATGGATCCATCCTCCGTTTCGGTGGAAACGAATCGATCGGCAACTTGTTTGTACATCTACGCGGCCTTGAACGCTGCCAAAGAAACCTGTGCGAGTAGTGACTTTCAGAACGCGCAATCAGCCTACGGGTGGAAAAAGCGTGTTGGTATTCTTACAAGAAGAAAATGGCCCTTGACTTTGTCGCCGGATGTTTGGGAGGTGATTTTTCCCGGAACCAACAAATTACGCAGCGCTATGCTTTAATTTAGTACTCAATCATCGCAATGTTTCTTCACAATGTGTCCAATGAATTGTAGGGTCTGCCGGTATTGTGGTGGGATATCCTCTGGATACGATCAAAGTACACATGCAAACGCAAGATTACCGAAGCCCGAAATACAAGGGCAGCTGGCACTGCTTCCGCACGATTCTTGCGAAGGAATCGGTAATTAAGAAATTCCAGATGAACATTCCAAATTCCGAATGATTTGCAATATCAGTGAAGAAATTTCCAATGTTCGTTCGATCAGGTAGCAGGTCTTTACCGAGGTATGACGTCGCCTATGGCGGGTGTAGCGCTAGTGAACGCAGTCATCTTCGGCGTGTACGGTCAAACCCAGAAACACGTAACCGATCCGGATTCCCTCGCCTCGCACTTCATCGCCGGCAGCCTGGCTGGGATTGCTCAGAGTCCTATCTGCAGTCCGATAGAGCTGGCCAAAACGCGCATGCAACTGCAGACGCCGGATGCTCGGTTCTCCGGGCCCTTGCGATACCTGAAGCATACCTATAAACATCGGGGGTACCGAGGAGTGTTCAAAGGTTTAAACATCACCATCCTCCGAGAAGCACCCAGTTTCGGCATCTACTTCCTCACGTACGAAGCAATCACGAGGTCCTTTGGGAACAAGCCGATCTCGACGCCACACATGTTGCTAGCTGGAGGACTCGCTGGAACCGCTTCCTGGGTGTTCACTTATCCTTTGGATGTGGTCAAATCGAGAATCCAAATGGACAACAATCGCTACTCGGGAGTGATCGATTGCTTCAGGCAGTCGGCGAGAACCGAAGGTTACTCCTCTTTCTACAGGGGTTTGAATTCCGCGATCATTCGGGCATTTCCCACGAATGCCGTCACCTTCGCTGTGGTCACCTGGACCTTTCGTATACTTCGGCAGGAACCAGCCGATCGGACATCCGACACGAACGCCTCTGAAACAGACGGCATTCGGGCTGTCGGGCAAGTATCCGATATCTACGAACCTTTCCCTTTCCTCGGTAAATGGCACTCTCCTGGCACGTTCCTGACGGGTTCTCCTCAGAGTCTAACGATCCCCAGATTCAGACACTCGACCTTGTCGATCGCGTGTATTGACGACTCCGTCTTTGGTAAACCTGTCGCGCGACAGTTCGACAGACGTTCCGAATTCGAGACTCGGCACAACGTCATCGGTGAACAACAAGTTCAAGATGACAAGTCCGATCAAGTTGAAGAGAGGTCGAGAGGAAGAGAGGATATCGCCGATGAAAGTAGCGAAAGGAAAGTTGAATTGCTGGACGTTGAAAGGGGGATCGGCGAATGTCGTGTCATCGAAGCGTCGGGACTTTTGACCAGCTCTTGAAGCTAGTTATCAAAGCTGGTACACGGACACGTTCGAATGCTTTTCATTCTTCTCATTCTCTTGGTTATTTATTCGAGCAGAAATTTTATGGGAAGAACACGAGCTACCATTAGTGCGTTTACATGTTCTACATTCGGAGACGTAACTATTATAGATGAAAGTGAACAATTCTCGAGCACTTTGCTCCATGTTTTGTAAAAGAGAAAAGATCGAAATAAATCAATGTTAATCTGTTACATGTTGATTGAAATGTCGACAAGTCGCAAATTTCAAATTAGCTAACATTCATTCTAACTTGGTTCATTCGGTTATCATCGTTACTTTCTTTACTTTATTTTACACCATACTTGCATACATACGTGTCACATGGGACAATGACATACCGCAACGTGTAAACTTTCGGGCGATGGGGAATATTTGTGGTTTTCTACGATATCAAAGGAAAAATGTTCGTGCTGTAATATGAAATAATTGGAAGGATGATGGAAAAAATGCGAAGGATAGGCTAAGCATTCGATTTGATTGATATTCTTATTACAGAGAAACCTTGGTACGTACAAAAAGCTATGTATAACAGAATATTTGTCGTAAGTAGTTACGAGTGCTTTTCGACGCAAGAACGTTTCAATACTTTGAGTATTAATTTAGTCGCATGCTAATCGGTAGAATATTATTTACAAGTAAATCAATCTTATCTACTAGCAGTTGCTTGAAATAGTCAAAACACTGACAGAAACGGCTGTTGATAAGACGGCTCTACTTCAACAGCGTAGAAGCGCAGCAGTTCTGATGTCATTGTAATTGCTTCATCCTAAAGATTCTAATACGAGTGTCTAGATTCCTTGAAATATTTCCTATATTTGACCCGGCACTTGTCTAAATAATAACGCAAATGAATGATTTCGACATCGACGTAATCAAGAGAGGAAAAATGAAACATACAGGATTAGACGCGTTTACCGTAGATTTCACGAATACGGAATCTCCACCGAAATTATGACGAATAACGGTAAAGTGGGCAACTCTGAACAAGTCCCCCTTCTGATCTCATTTTGCAGTGAAACGGTATTGACTGAAACATTACTGTGTAAATCGATAGCGCTCATTTCTACGCGTAAAGGTCAGTCAGGAGAATCAGTCGGAATTTCCTGTTGGCGAACCTGGTATAGTAGAAGAGAAATCTACAAATAAAAGAATCGCAAACCACCCCATTTTTTTGCATCTTCACTTATCCTCGACAAAGTATAGTATGTACATGTTTGATTTGCACACAAAGCGAAAGATACAGATTTTCACTTGGACGATTCACAATGAACGATTATTATATTGCGCGTTCAGCATCACACTTACTTTCTACTCCGAAAACATTCCTTTCACACTTGCTGTACGCGAGTGTACAACCATAATCATTATATGTGTAAATAAATAAAAATAAATAAACATAAATAAACTACTAGTTTCGAATGGTGTATCAATATTGGTTTCTATGGAAATCAAGATCGTTTACTCGGGTCTAATGTTGCTTTCACGCTATTATAAACAACACGGGTGTTTCGCTTAGTCCTCGCGTAGCGAATACAACGTCGTTTCAACGTAGTTGTTTCAAAGAAATAGACTTGCATTATTCTGTCATATTAAACCTGTGACTCGATTCGTTGGTCGATCGAGCGGGTTATTGTAGAATAATGTTGATTACCGCTGATCGACATGGCAACAAATGAATTCAAACGTGAAACGAGAATATCTGAAATCCGATACGCATCGGTGTTAAAACAAGTCGGACACATAGTCGTCGTCACCGTAATCGTAGTCGTCAGCTCCGGGTGGTACAAAAATCCCTCCAAGAACACCGGAAAGGTTTTCACCGAGACCCATTGCAGATGCCACGCCAAAGACTAGCCTCATAACCAGCAATCTCATGAAGTTTACCACATTCGTTTCTTTACTTTGAAGAGACAACTGCGTCGCCTTCTTCCCCTTGCTCTCGACATGCTGGATCTGTCAACAATCACATTTCTATGTTAACAAACGTGAGCGTTTCTATGAAACGTATCTATCGAATGTTTACAGGAACGAAAACTTGTAATAAATACGAGCTAAACGTGAATAAATACGTGCTAAATGCGAGCAGTTTAGTTGCTCGTGAGAAATAAGTCGTTCGCGCGGGGGCGATAAGAGGCTAGAGAGAAGTATTAAACAAACGAGAAACAGACCGAGTCTTACTGAGATGATAAGTTGCAACTTACATTGACGCAGGCGATAATAGAGCAAAGTAGGAGAAGAAACCCAATCTTCATCTTGGACGCGTCGTTCGGTTCCAGGGAACAACGGAAAGGTGCTTCGCGCGCGCGGACTGGGCTTTTTCGTCTGACTCGATCCGTTTGCCGCGATAGGTTCGGTCACATCTGTGCGCCCGTTTCGAACGAGCACTCAACGAGGACTGAACAGTGGCTCCGTGTAGAGAAACTCAGCCAGTTCCTCTTCTATCGAGCTTTGTTGCTGATAGAGCACGGATCGTAACGTACGATCGAGCAGGTGACCGATGGAGACAAAGTGAAACAAGTGGTGGTTCCATGCCGGTAGATACATACCTACGTAAGTTATTCTACGGTAACGGTACACGACGAAAAAAGGCATCCAGGCCATCTCTCCAGGTTACGCGATACGTGCTCGCCCAGTGAACATACAGTCACGGATGGTGGAGGATGTCTATCGGAATATCGGGCTCGTAAAAGTAGGAACGCCTGCGAGAAAGTGTCAACGCATTGTCTCGTGTATTAGTTTCGCAGGTTAATCTTCCCGATAAATGAGCACACACCAGTCGATTCCCGAATGTCTAATCGGTATACCCGTCCCCAACCGACCATCCTCTTACGTGCCGATACGCTTGTTACTTGCACCGACTCGATTTCTTCTTGCATTTCTTATGGTTCCCGATATGCTGTCGAAGACGATGTACGTAGAAATATAGGTGTACGCGTGCGTATACCGTTAGCGATCGTCAACACTCGACAACCGATACAGCTAACAATCGAGTTCTTCCACGCGATGCGGTTGTTACGTGCATGAAATCGTTAGCTCGTCCCACTGTGTTGGATTTGTCGATATTTCACAGAACAGTTACCGATCAAATCGAATTTATCAAGATTCCTTCTCGACCGAAACTGGACAAATCCGTCAGAAATCCGAAGAGTGCTTCGCGTTTTCGAGTAAAATACAAATTGCGTGAATTAGGTTAGCTTAGGTTACCGGAACCTCCGGAAGGTGTTCCGTACGAGGTCTGCTCTATCGCACGGTCTAAATACTTTGACTCTGTCTCACGTCATTAGCTTTCAAAACAAACTGGAAAATATTCGAGGAAATTGGTGCGTGACAAACGCATACTCAAGTACATATTTACCCTAAAGATCCTTGGGCATTAATCGCCAATTAATTCTAATTCCATTAGAATGATAACTAAGTAGAATTTACCTTGCATTTCTATCGATATTGCTCTTGTGTAAATACGCGAAATAATTAGTTTACGAGTTTATATTTCGGGCTCGTTTCGAATACCCCAGTGGATTAGTAAAAGTTGGCAATTAGAAGAGATGATTTGTATTTCATAAATACTCGGATTATACTAGATTTTGGCCCACTCGGGTGCGTTTCCAGTGGCCTGGCCTTCGTACCGAATGGTAATTGCCGCATCATAAACTTGTAAACGCTTCACCTTAATTGACGTTCTGCCTAGCACGCGGTTTCTCATGCCCATTTCCTCTACGCTGATTTTACTGCTGACGTTCCACTCCGCAACAGTTTCTAGACGAGGATTTTCCACGGTGTGCTTTCTTGCGGCAGGCCCTCCTATGCCGGTTCTTACCCGCGCATAAAGCACATGTATGTGGTACGAGATTCTAGCCGAATCTACCGAATCTACCGAAAGAGAAATCGGTTCCTTGAACCGATAATTCATTTCGTTCAACCATAGTTTTCGTAATAGTATGTGAGAATATTTTGATTACGAATTTGGCGTGACCATCGAGTAATCACATTTCCCCTTGTCATTACTATGCAACGAAAAGAATCAGCTTCTTCGAGAACTGCAATCCCCGCGAGTCTAATAGTCTTTAGTGCAACTAGGACACAAACAATTTTATATCATGCGGACGATTAGTCCACTTGAAACATTGTGAAATGTATGCGGTTTCACGAGGAGCACGTGGCACAAAAGTAACGATGGAAAGTGTTTGTATAAAAGGCGTTGTCACTTTGTTTTGCCAGTAGACGCCAACTGATTATGCCGCCATTAGAATGGGTACGTAGATGTAGAAAAAAGCTCGGTGAATTCGTCTCTTTTCAAAGATTTATTCTTTCTTGCCCGCCCACAGCTAGGGATACTGGTGCTGTTCACCCACGTCGCTGGACAAACGCAACAGAAAGTCCGGCAAACGGGATACGTTTACGACGTACCAAAAATACCATTCGCGTTTCCAAACTCCAACTCCAATCCACCGATATATCCAACGAACCCTGCTCCGCCACCTACAGATGCAACCTCGTATACACTGGCAGCTGCGCCGCCTATACCGACAACACCACCACCTCCGCGGCGGCCGTCTCCACCGTTTTCAATTCCACCGTCACAACCGAAATACGTTAGCCCAGCATCGTTGCCACCGCAGTCGCCGCCTTCGACGTCAGCACCGATATACCTACCACCGATTGGTCAAGGGGGCCTTCAGCGAGACGATCAAGAGCCTGTCTCCTTTGCAAAGAACACAGCGTCCGCAACAGCGTCCGCTGGTGTAGTGAAAATAACCGGTCCACTCGCCGTGACAAATGGAAATTATCCTACTACTACGAGCGCTGCGCCAACGTTTCCGTCGTACAACTCGAGAATCCCCATCGCATCGTCGAGCTACGATTATTCGACTTCATCTCCAACTCGGAATTATAACAATTCACCTATTAAAATAACTTTACCCACATCCACTTACTCTCCCTCGACTCCTAGGCCGAATTATCCAGCTGCGCAGCCATCGTATCCTTCACAACCAGCTGTTACATCGGTTCCTGGTCCTCCGCAGCGACCCAC